TTTGATTTCATTCATGATTTTTTCTTACCATATTGTTCAGGATGATGAAGATCAAGAAAATAGAGACTTCCAAGGTGGCCAGACAATCACTGGACAGCAGAATGGACCTAGTTATGCTAATGCTGTGAAACATGGACAGAAGAAGACATTTTGGAAACAACAAAAGACCCTTCCTAGACCATGGAGTGATGGTATAGAATTGTTTCAGTAATAGTGTAATCTCCTTGCTTATGAATGGCATGTGTTTATTGTTGTATTATTTATAATATTGAAAAAAAATAAAATAAAAGTATAATTCCACTAATGTTTTCATAGGAAATTCTGAGGATCACAAGTTTCAGCCTAAAAGATTCAAGTCAGAATTTGATTCACCTCTAGTACCAACAGAACAAGAAGAGCAGAATGGAACATATCCTTATAAAAATCAAAGATCTTCAGCATTTAACAGCCAAAAGCCCCCATCTCCACAACACATCGTTAGAGAGGAGAGAAAGGACATAAATAACCCACCCCCTCCCCCAAAGCAGAATGAGCCCCAGTAAGTTGTTATAAAGTTTTTAAAATTTTGAGGATATTATGTGTTTGATAATTTTTTTTTTCTTTTTTAGAAATGAAATGAGTGCACAAGAATGGCCACCAAAACTTAGGTAACCAAAGGATAACTTCTATAATATTGTATTCAATTCATTTTTATTCTATATGTCTTGCTGCATCATTAATAAGAATCATGAAATCACGTTCCTTGTGTCTGCAATAAACATTTTGCTGCTCTAGGAGTAAGTCACTCTGTAGTTTCTGTCTTCAAATTAGCTGTGCTATATTAAAAGTCTGTTTTCACTGCAATTCATTCATTTTATGTGTGTGTTTTTTAGGGACTTTGTTCAAAGATGTTTTTCACCAAGTAGATGCAAGACAGAAGAAGACAAGGATGAGGTGGAAATAGCACTGAAAAGGATGCTGACAAAAGTGTTTGAAGACAATAAAGTCAACTCAATTGATTGGGATGTTGAACCTTTACCAAGGTAGAAATGATAATAGCTTGAATTTGTCTCCACAAAAGTGGAATTTTGTTTGTGTCATTTGTCACTCAACTCTTGCTAATTCCAAATATATTTGTGTCTTAGAGAAGTAGCCATTAACATTGATTGTCTTTGATATATTGTCACCTAACTGATAATGATCGATAATTATTATCTGTACAGACTAAAAAGTGAATCTAAAGAAGAACTACCAAGATGGCATCCTTCACGTAGGTACCAGTCTCCACCAAGGAGAACACCTCCTAAAAGGCATTCTTCTCCATTACCATTTAGATCTAAACGAGGCCGCAGTAGATCAAGGAGTAGATCAAGGAGTAGATCAAGGAGTAGGTCTAGAAGCCCTAGTTCTCCTACAAACCTAAAGAATTCTGATGTAAAAGGAAGACTAGGTCCCAAAAAGAATCCTACAAAGAATGGACCAAAGCAGAAGCAAAAAACTCCCAAGGGTGGCAAAGGGAAGAAGGGCAAGAAAACTGGGTGAGAAATCTTACTACTTCTAGAACTTCATCAGTGATTTCTCTTCAATTTCCAATACAGGAACTAAGATCATTTCAAGGTCTCTTGACTCATATTTTTGTGCTTTTGTTTAGGCCTGTTCTTGGAGAGTTACCTGTTGACCCTGAAAATGAGAAGAAGATTAACAAGAGAGCACAGAGATTTCAGTCTTCTTATGAAAACCCTAATCGTTCAAGTCCAAGTATTATAAGTACTTTAAATGCTAATGTAAGTAAAGGGACTCTATGTTTTAGGCATTACTGTTTATAGCAAGATAATACATATTTATTATAAACTACAGGGCATATGGTTTGATATTGAATTGATATAATGTAGCATAACATGGTGCATGATATTTTATTATCTGCAGATGTATATGGATAAAGATGAAGAGGAGTTTGATTGGAGTAAGTTCCATATTGTTGGGACGTGTCAAGACTTGAAAAAGAACTATTACAGATTAACAGCTGTAAGTAACACATGATATGAGAGCATTCAAATCTTCAGATATTGATGTGTTGTAAATCCTTTAAGGCACCAGATCCATCAACAGTAAGACCAAAAGAAGTACTCAAGAAGTCCCTAATAATGATCAAAGACCATTGGAAATCCAATCAAGATGATTATAGATATATTTGTGAGCAGTTTAAATCAATGCGTCAAGACCTAACAGTAAGCAAAATGACGTTCTTTAGAGTTGCCTCTAAGATTACTGACAGTAATGACTATATTTTTTCAGGTGCAAGGAATCCGAGATGAGTTTACAGCTGAGGTGTACGAGACACATGCTAGAATAGCTTTAGAAAAGGTATGAAATTTACATGTTATTTATAAGAAATTTATTATAGAAATGATTACCAAATAATAATAAAACATTCAAACTTCATGTTCATATTGATGTGATATAAATTCATGCTTGAATTTCACACAGGGAGACAGAGAGGAGTTCAACCAGTGCCAGACACAACTTAGATCCTTATATGACAATGGTGTTCCTGGAAATGTCATTGAGTTTACGTCATACCGATTGTTGTACCACTTGTTAACTAATAATGTACTTGGTATCCTTTATATCTCTGTTATAATCACACTCTACTCTGACTGCGTAACAGTAATACATTGTGTTTGATATTTTAAAAAGAGGAATTGTTATTCTCAGTATATTTACCTTAACAAAAATTTCAGACTATTCAACAGACATACTAAAACTAACAAAGGAGGAAAAACAAACCATACCTATACAACATGCACTGCGTTTGTGCTCTGCATGGGCATTGTCTAATTATCACACTTTTTTCCAACTTTATCTATGTGCTCCCAATATGTCAGGCTACCTAATTGATCTGTTTGTTAAGAGGGAACGTGTTGCTGCAATCAAGACTATGATCAAATCGTGGGTTCAATTTGTTCACATTTCTAGGAATGATTTTGGATTTACTGCAATACTTCATGATAATTGTTATTTCAACTTCTGGGATTTTGTTACCAGATCACTAAGGTTGTTCATAAAATTGCTAGAATGTCTATTTAAAAGCACCTTTATGAATGTCTGAAAATGGTTACAATGTACATGTCATCACTGATGCTTTCTTCAGAATTTGGCTTTGTTGCTGTCATGACTTGAACTCTTCCTCAAAGAGTATATTCAGTTTTTCGAATATGAAATTGAATTGTTTGCATATTGAAGTCATTGCAAATCTTCAAAATCATTCTTTTACTAGCCATGTAATGCCAATTATTGTCTTGTAGACATTGATTTTCATTGCATGGTTCTTTGTTGTGTTTTCTTTGTTATTGTCACCTTTGTTGTTGCATGATCCACAACTGACAAAATGCTGGCATCACMRTCACTTGTAGCTTTACATCACTGGCTTTTTCATCACTCACACAATCTTTTATCACTCCTTGATATGTTCCAACCCCMATTCCCCCAAACTAACTTGATTTATTTTTGTTTCTCCCTCTGCTGATGGTGGTTCCTGTAAGCAGTTACCGTCCYTCTTTGCCYATAGCCTTCATTCAATCTGAGCTAGGTTTTACAGAGGAAGAGGAGTGTAAGAAGTTTCTGATGGAAGTAGGAGCTACACTAACAGCCCAGGGTGCCAAGGTGGATTGCAAAGTTGGTTTATCTGATGTCTGAGAAATCAAGACCTACCACCATGCAAACATGAAATGAGTTTCATTTGACAAAGCTTATTTCATTTTTGCATTAATTCGATGTTACATAATTAGAATTTAAAAATTATATAGTGTACATATCAATGGAAATAATTTGTATAGAAGAGAGCAATTCATATATTTCCTTTAAAAAATATATTGTAAGTATTCATGAAACAGTCAGTAGATAGTTTCTACACTGTATATATACACTGAGGCAGAAGACCATCCATGTCCGCACACAGAATCAAGTGAGTTACCATGTCAACAAAGCTATATATCAAGATGCGACTGACTTCAACAATGATGTCTGGACACCCACACATCACCCAAGGGTGGGCAGCTATTCCCAGTTATACTAAGCAGATGAAGTTGTCAAGTTTCTTGCAGGATGAAGATTCAAGTGGATGGTTCATGATCACAAGAGAAATGTCAAGTTGTGTAAGATAACACTTGATTTTTWAAAAAAATAAATGAATTTGATGAAATATGGTGTTGTTTCTGTGTACATATTGAAAACCTCACTCCTTCATCCCATTATAGAAAAGAAACTACATTAAAAATAGTAAGAAACAAACATACATCCCATTCAAAACAAAAAGAAAACCATAAAAAAGGACACGCTTCCCATAACGAAATTGTGATGTTGTTATCGTTGGGATCCCTGTGGGACTAAATATTTCCCATGGAACATCGCGGTGGTTTCGTGGATACACTTGTAAACAAGATGGCGCCTAGTTCGCAGAAGACCAGCTGAAAATGACCGTCTTTTGGGATATTAGTAACACTGAAATGATCACACAAGAAATTGAAATGAGAAAAAATTGCAAAACTGAAGATGTGTATTGAGTTTGGAGCATGGAGAGTAAGTATGATTTGAAAAATATGCGCAAAATGATGACTCTTTGTTTCACTGAGAAAAATATTAAACTTGTCGATTGTTTTTGTTCTGACTTACCGAAGGTTTGTAGCCGACATAATGGAAKAAATCCCAACCGSATGRGCCTAAATTAATTATATTATGTACATATTTCTCCATTATGGGTTTAAATTTTAAATGGAAAWTTGAATAGATATTTATGCACAGTCAATCTGTAAGGTCTGATGTCTTAAGTAATTATATGCATGTAGATTCTGTTTGTTATTAAGCTTAATTTTATCAAACATTATTCMGATGATCGGTGTTCTCACTCATGCCTTTATAATCTAGAATACTCATCAAATAAATGGGAAAAGCACAAAGGAAAACATTTTAAACCAGCCAAAGAGGTAAACGTACAGACTACATGCCACTAAAATCATTCATAAGTTATATATGAATGCTGTGTTTGCACACAAGTATAGATTCAGTGCAGGATTTTGTATGAGTATTGACTGTACCATGTTCTGTACTGTGTAATATTACACACATAAAAGCTAAAAAATCCTGACATAAATATATCATGCAGACTGTAGAGTAGCTTTTAACATTTTCTAATAATAACTTTTGAAAATACAGCCGCCATCAGGTTATAATCCATCAAAAGATGTACTTTCATCAGGATATGAAGATTATTTGGTTCTTCTCCAGGAAAGAAACAGGTAAAGTACAGTACAGTAAGTTTATATACAGCTTAAAAAGTTACTGAAGTATTCTGTACTCTGTCACTGTACTCTCTGGTACAGAAAATGTTTATGTAGTATATTTTACAGGGAAAAAACATGGGCAATATATGACAATCATAAGGTGGCTATGGASCAGGGAACTTACCATGATGGCAGAGCATTCCTGGATGGGCAGAACCTTTGATATAAATGCGTACTCATAGCAGGTCATAAAATATTTACTTTAAGATTACTGAAGAAGTTGAAAGAAAAAGACAGCAAGCAAATAGAGCTTGAAAAGAAGGAGCAGGGTTTTTCTCTTTATGTTAATGGTGCCAATGCTGATTTATTTCGTCCTCAACCTCCGTCAACTGCTAAGAACAGARCTCCATCAAGRCAGACGAAAACAGCAGGTGATAGCGATAAGAACAGTGTATGGATTATGTTTTCTTGATGGTGTGAAATGAAGTTCATTGTTGTCAATTAAATGATTTAGATGCATACAGTGAAAAAAGAAGGCAGTTGGAACATGAGYTGCAGTGGCTTGAAAGGGAAGTAGGGTAAGAAAACATTATAATTTACTAAGATATTGCTTTTCTTGAAAGAATTATATATTTAACATAAACTGTAATTCAGTAACAATAAGAGTGATCTTTGTTTGTAAATAGAAACCTTAGATTTTATAACAGTCTGTTATTTGTAGTGAAATTAGAGCCAAAACAGCTCCAATTCCAGACCAAGCTCCTCGCAGGGAATGGCAGCCTGTAAGTTCAACAWCTTGATTTTATCCAGCCCTCCATATAATATCAAGCCATTAAATCTCCAATATTTTTTCAGGATATGATACACATCAAGACAAATCAAGGRGCTAAACTAAAACTCAAAGCCCCAGGTATAAATTATTACTTATTACTTGGTAAAACAATGGCTATGTTATTAAAGGCTCATGCCCATCCAAGAACCTTTGCATGGTTGTTTGAATTGATTCTTGTTTAACCAGGTATTTTTCTCTGTAGGTGTACTGTCAGGCAATTATAGTGAAGACTTTGAGGCCATGGATCATGATGATGATGGTGATGCAGTCCTTGATAGCTACCTGAATCTATCGCAAGAAATAGCTTTAGAGGACAATAGTGACGAWGATGAAGATGAGCTTACACTCAGTATGAATGATGTTGAGGTATCAATGAAACAATGTATTCCACATCCATTTTTCATAGTAATTACATATATAGTAATTGATGATATTGACCAGCATTAAATCTGAGTTTGTGAAAAATAATGACTTTTAAGGCAATCAGTAAAGTAATAACTATTTTTCAGACATTAAGGAAGTCGCTGGAAGCCGATCAAAGCATTCAAGAAAGTATCAAAGCAGCTCAAGAGGTACATGTAGATTACAACTTGAACTCTTTGAAGATTAACCTTCCTAAATACTAATACAACACTTAGGACTGCACACTTAGGACTGCACACTTAGGACTGCATCCAACAATACATGATACTTTTATTTCAGAGAATAAAACGTGAAGAAGAAAGTGGTGATGTCAAAGATGACAGTGATGAAGAGGAAATAGAAGAGGAACTAGAAGGAGCAACCAGTAGCTTAAACCTTGCTGAGCTTGACAAACTTCCTCACTTGACTCAAGCAAGCAACAAGTCCATTGAAGTAAAAGATGTCAGCAAGCAAAGTATAAGTTTTGAAATCCCAATACATGATAAACCAGAAGAGAGGGACATTAGTTGTATTGTTAAAGAGAAGACGTTTGTTAAAGAGACTCCGGTGAAAAAGGGTCAAAATGGTGATGAAGACATGGTTGTTCTGAGCTTCTCTAGCAGCTCAAGTATGTTGTTGTATTGTTACACATAGATGTACACATAAACTAACGTGTAGACTGAAGTTTCAATGGGATTTCCTTTTTGTGATTGCAGAAAATAAGAAAGAAAGGGTCCTATCAAGTACAAGGTGAGCGTTTACTGCAGAAAGACTTGTTTTATATAGTTTACCCATCAAACAGACAGTATTGTTTTTTTACTCATTATCAATATCAATCAATTAATCAATATTAATCTTAGGAGAAAAGAAGATGCTGAAATCTTTGTTGCTACATCAACACCCAATAAAAAACCTTATACCAAGTAAGAAAACATTGGTAATATTGAGGTATGGAATGGAAAAATTAGTGTTTAACATTGAATATTTCTCCAGGAAGTCTGAAGACAMCCCTTCGAAACCTAAAGACAGCCAAGTAGAGCTCAAATCTTGTATGTTGAACTTGACATTTTGATGATTTGTTAAGAAATGGTATCTTGTATAATTTGTTGTGATAGCTAAAATTTAGTTACTCTTGTAGCTCAGAAATCAAGAACTAGACCTTTGTCAGCATCAAGAAGGAAACAGCCTACTGATGAATGTACTGAAGACAAAAACCCTGATGAAATTTTTCAAGCAATGGCTATTGAAAACCAAAATATTGGTAAATTAAATATGTTTGTTTGTATTGATTAATTGTCTATTTATTGGTAGTATACTAACAAGGTTACAATTTATGTGTGTTTATTATATAGAGAAAGCAAGTGGRTGTCACACAGCTCCTGAAAACAGAGCAGTATGTAAAAAAAAAAAAAATTGCATCAGTAATCACATGATAAATACACAAGTTGTCTCAAAAATAATATTTCTTTGAGATGATTACTAGCTTATTTTGATGCTTATTATAGGAGTTTATGAGTCAGTTTGTTCTTGGTATTGAATATTAAATACAATGTTGGTACTTTAGATTGATTCTTCAGATGATTCTTCTGAAGTACAAAGACCAGCATCAATAGCTTCAACTTCAGATAAAATTTCATTAGCTACCAAAAAAGTTAGAAGCATGGACCCAAGGTTTGTGAAAATATAATGCGCAGTATTATTTTGTTATGGTTAATTTCAAACCCTAATGAAAACTCACTTTCACAATACATTAAGTGTTTGTGCATTAAATATTAGACAACAACAGCACTTGATATCATTATTGTCAAAACTGGAGCTTAAAGGTCCTCCATTCAAGGCAGCTGGTCCATTGCCATCAAAGAAAAGATCTCCAATGAAAGCTACAGTAGCGTATAGTAGCTCACATCAAAGTTTAGACTCTGAGGCCAGCTCTAGTGTGGTAAGGATGCCATTATCAGTCAATCTCCTCTAAGAAAAGTCTCAACTCATTTCATACTTAATTTCTTTCAATTTGTTGTTTTTTTCTTTTTTTTTTCAGGCTTCTTCTCAAAATCCTGATACTGTAGAATCATCTTATACTGGTCTACAAGAAGACAGTATTGTTGATGTTAATATWGAAATCCAATCAAACTGGGGACATCCAAACACTCTGGGGATCACTGAGGTATCAATGATGTTTTATTATTCCTAATATACAACAACCATCCCTTTCCTCTCTCCCTTTACCTTCACACCTTCATTGACATGTGTCTCCATCCCTCAACCATAGTTCTCTTTGCCTTCATCCATCCATCCAGTTCTCTTTCATCTTTATAATTATCTATTTAAGAGACAAATACCCTATATATAYCCTACATAGTGTATGTAGCACTGTACATTCTATTTTAGGTTCAGTTCTTTAGTGATGATGGTTGTCTAGTGAGATATGATGTTAATGATATATCAGTGTCTGGATACTTTGGTGACCAAGGAATGGTGGCAAATATTTCAAATGCAAAAACTAAGGTACTGCATAAAGTACTTTCTGTTACAATTGCAACCTTTTATCCTGCATCCAATAATTCCTGTCAAACTTACTGTCCGTCCTAGGCCTTGAAGGAGACTAGATAGTCTCCTGTTCAGCCTACCCTTTGTCACACTTGTTTTCCCTCCTAGGCTGTGAAGGAGGCTAGTTAATGTTATGTTGTATTTATAGACCAACAAGCCTAAATACATGTGGTGCTGCCAGTTCATTCCTGGTTCACCTGTAGAAYTAATGTTTCATTTGCCAGTTGAGCAGCAGAGTCTCTCAAAGATGATTATATGGAACTTCAATGGTGGTGTTAAGGTGAGTATAAATGTCTTGTGATGCAAAATTGAATTATTTTACAAATATTGCAAGACATCACTTCATGTGTAGTTGTTCCTAACATCAGCTGTCTCTGTGCATGTCTTTCGTTTTTCCAAAGTTAATTAAAGCTGCTATTTTAAAATTTATCATAGCATTTAATACATTAATTTTTAAAAACATATTAGGATCTTAATATGGGTATCAAAGATGTGAGAATTTTTACTGGCGGTGAGCTTAAATGGAGAGGAACAATTGACAAGGTATKTGTCTTTGAATATTATAATATAATTATATTCCACAATGTACCAGTTGACTCTGGCACTGATGGACATGGTTTATTGTGATGTTWTTTTGAAGGGGTGTGGCAATCAAGTGTTTGACTACAGCACAGTGATAAACCTAAATGAACCAATGATGGATTCCAATCAGAAAGCACAGCCACCATTACGCTCRGAGACTGTTATGGTGATKAAATCTTGTGATAACACTAAACAGARCATTGGTGACTTACCTGTCATTGATCACCCAGTTGTGAATCAAAGCCAGGAAGCAGCAGGGTAAAGGAAATTGTCATTTAGATATCATTGTAATCATTATCATTGTTTATAATATCATCATGATATCCATATTCAAAATGTCATTTGTTAATAATCCTTGTGGCATGTACATTGTATATCTTAATCAATTGGTATAATTACATGATATTAAATATAATGATTTCATTTTCATCATTTGTATTTATCATTAATATTATTATATCACTGTCATCACTTTTTAGATCAAAAGATGTTTCTACTTCTTCATTTCAATCCAAGCAACATGCTCCTAGTTCTTCCCCAGTAGCACCTTCTCGTGCCTCAGATAAAAAGATGCCGTCGTCAAGAAGTACTGATAACAAAGGGTATACATGAATCACAGAACTATTTTATTTTACTGGACAGATCACATTTGCCTTCCTATAATAATAATTGAAAATTTTAGTCGTTCATACACTTCAGGTTTATCAATAGCTTCTTCTCAGCAACAGATAGAGTTTTAATATTAAAAGTGATGATGTGCCTGACTTGTAAGGTTTTGTCATTTCAGAAATCCACTGACTGAATCTATTTCCAAGAAAGCACTCATTGACTCAACAGAGGGAAGGCTTGTTACCCGGTAGGTTAAGATATTTGTGACTACATGGAATACACATGATGTAATATCATTTGTGTTTTAACGGCAGTTCTAGTTCTACACCAAATCTCTCATCAAACAGTGGTTTGACAGCTCTGGGCACGATTGATGATGTTTTAAGGTTAGTTTTATTTGAAATGACTGAAGAAATAAGTAGTGTGTTGGTTGATTAATGTTTGATGTCTTCAAATAGAGGTGACAGTGCTGCATTGCCAAGCAAACCACCATGGCTTGAAAGCAGCAGGAAAAAGTCAAGGTAAGCAATCAAAAATAATTAATTAAACTCTTGTATTATTATTGGTTTATTAATAATTATTGAGTGTTTATTGATAATTATTGTGTATCAAGTTTGTATCGAGTTGGTATCGAGTGTATCAAATGTGTATTGAGTGTATTGAATATGTGATATGAATTATTTTCAGATCAAGGTCATCATCAAGGTCCAAGTCTCGTCCAATATGGTTATCTGAAAATGAATCARGTGAGATATTTTAATCTGCTGAGTGGTAGAATAGGATGCAAGAATAATCTCTGACCTGCTGGGTGTTTTCGTTCCTTGTCAGGTAATCAATCTGAGGCTTCAGGAAGAAGCTTGAGTTCTACAGACATGAGGACAAGAGAGAGTCCTGTTCCTGTTGAGGGCACAACAAGATGTAGAAGCACTGGAGCACGGAGCTACAGTCTTCCTGGTCAACAGGGCAATGAATTCTGGCCTGAAAACTTTGCCAGCCGGTATAGTGATGAACTTAATAATGTTGACATTGGAATACAGTTTAGGAGCATTAATACATTGCAAGGGTGTTCAACTGTGTTCATGTTCTTGTTTTTCAGTAAAGAAGAAGAGTTGCCGACATGTTTGGACTCATCTGTTACTACAGCCACAGTATGTGATTCACAACACTTTGATTTTTACTTTTATCAGTAACCATTATCACTGCTATTATCATTAGTTGTAATTTCGCCACTATTTACCAGTACATGTATCAGGTCCTTGTAATCACCTATTAATATCTTGTCATTTTAACATTTTAATGAATTAGGAAAACAAAAGATCTGACTCGAGACATTCAAGACATAAAGCACCGTCCCCTACTCCCTCARYACAACCTCCAGGTCATACAGRGAAGATACAATCAGCCAGTGAACAACAATCTAAACAATCTTCATTATCAAAACGACAGCAATGGAGAATGTAAGCTGCTTCATTTGATGACAATAAAGAATATAATTCATGAAAATATCTCCTACATATTCAACAGGGAACAAAGCCTCAGTCTAGAAGAATCATGGAATGTGTTATCAATGTTTGAAAAGTCWCACAAGGGACGTATCACCAAGGACATGGATTTAGGGTGCCAAGGTGAGCAAAGCTAGTCTCTGAAATTTAGGTTTTTACACTTTAGAAATGAGGTGGGAAGTTTGTTGTTGTGATTAATGCTTATTAGTATTGATAATTRATATTTTTCATTAGATGATGCCCTGGACAAGTTTCTGTCGAGTGAAGTGAGCAAATCAGGACCAAGRAMAGAGAAGGAAGATCAARCAGACTACAGACCAATGGRTGAAGGGTAAGTTAATGGGTTTATTGCAGTGACTAGACCATTTATTTCTCTATGGTAGATATATTATAGGATCGTTCATGTATATTTTGTAGTGTGGTTCACAGAAGCCAAGAAATCCCCACTYTACCAAAAGGCAGGCATCTAGTGATTAATATGTTAACAACATGGGGTGATAAACACTATATAGGACTTAATGGTATTGAAATATTCACTGAATATGGAAAACCAGCAAATATACAAGAGGTAGGTAAAACCAGTAGCTAAATATTACACCACCCAAACAAAACAACAAATGAACTTGTTGCTGTAAAAAATAATCAAAGTGATCGGAGAATAGTGAAATGAAGAGCTTGAAGAACTTTCTGTCTTCAGCTGGTGAATTAGTAAGCATATATTTTACATTTTATCTGTTACTATATAAAAATATTGTTTCATTTTGGTAGATAACTGCAGATCCTCTAGATATCAACATTCTCCCTGATTATGGCAGTGACCCTCGTGTAATCACTAACTTGATAGATGGGATCTTTCGCACCAGGTAAAGTTACTATACACATTTAAACCTTTGCACTATATTTGCTTGAGTTCTTATTGTGTAATTGTTTCCAGGGATGACATGCATTTGTGGATGGCTCCATATACAGCCAGAGAAAACCATTATATCTACATAACGTTTACAGAACCTATCAAAATTGCAATGATAAGAATTTGGGTGAGATAATATTGTTTTGACTTTGTTGTTGACTTATTACGTATCCAGCACTTCATTTGTTTTTTACAATGCATAGTAACATTTCCATTATTGTCTGGTAATTAGGACCATTGTCATTGATAATATTATTACAATGTACTTAATGTTAATCTTAATAAATATAATATTTTGTAGAATTACAACAAATCTCGCATCCATTCATACCGTGGTGCTAAAGACATTGAGATTTCCCTGGATGACAATCTCATATTTGAAGGTGAAATACAAAGGTACACTCGTGGACTTTTAGTCATATATCAGCAATATGTGTATTTAATATAGCATTCACTAATAAAATACTTATTTTTGAAGGGCAAGTGGTACTCTTGATTATGATGAACCTTTTGGAGATGTAAGTCTAAGCATTGCTCCTTAATTAAGCTATATTTTTGTAAATTCTTTCTTGTATCTAGTACTTGATTCAATGTTTTGATTTCCCATCTACTTTCTTTTCAAATAACCTTTCCATTTTTGCACCATTCATTTAATATTGCATTCTATTGTGTAGACTATTCTATTTACCATGGATGAGGAGATTCTAGAAGCCATGTCACTTTATGACCAGACATATGAAATACCAGAAGAYGAAGACAGTTTGATCTACAGTCAAGATTATGAACGGCCATCCACTGCTGACCGCGGAGATGACCAGGTACATTGTAGCTTATATGCTGGATCATCACTGAACCACTTTGTAATGCATTTTTCAAGTAGCTAGGAATTCCAACCATGATTATCCCATTTTAGGACAGCGATGATCGACCTTTCACGCAAGCAAGGCAAAGAAGAACTACTGAGAAGGTGGAAGAAAGTACTGGTGAGTCACGACTCATGACAAGAACTCTCTAGAGTTACAACTCTTTACAAGAACTCTCTAGAGTTGCCTTTCTTGACAAGAACTCTCTAGAGACATCTCTCTTGACAAGAACTCT